CCCGTCCCCCTTGTCCCCACTGTCACGTTGGAGGCCAGCAGCCAGCCGGGGCTGGCAGGCAGCCCACGCTGCCAGGGCTGCGGGCACAGTGGCCTTGCTGCCCGCCGGCTCTGCAGGGGTGATGGGGACGGTCCCCCAGCTGCCACCCACATGGTGGTACCCAGGGTAACCAGCGCCGTGGCCCTCTTTTACAGGTGACACCCCCCTCATTTGCCACCGGTGACGTGCTGGGCGGCGGGGACAGCCGTGGAGCCACCGAGGACACAGGCTGAGCGGCGGGACACGAGGAGGAAGAGGAGGAGGGGGTGTCTTGGGGACGGCACCTTGGCTGCATGTCCCCAGCATCATCTGCAGCCACCAGCCACCCTTGAGCCAACGCAGCCCGGAGGGGGGGGTCCCGGTGGCTTTTTGGAGCCTGAGCACTGCCAGCGCCGCGGGGAGGAGGAAGGGCCGAGGAAGACGCGCCGGGTGATGGATGGCCCCAGCCTGGCGCGGTGGTCCCAGGGGAGCGGGACCGGGCGGCTCGGGGACCTTGGGGACCTGGCTGGCAGCGCCCGCCTCTGCAGAGCCCCGCAGCGTTTGCTCTGCTGAGCTCCAGAGCCCGCAGCCGGTGGGAGCCGGGAGGAGGATTCGGAAGGGCTCCGGGTGAGCCCCGCATCCCTGTGCCGGGGCATGGCACGGGGCTGAGCCGCCGTCCCCCCGGCATGGCGCGACAAGGTTCGGGGGCCATGCTGGCCTCCGGTGGCCTGGGCTTCCCCCCTCAAAACCTGGCCCGTGTCGTGGTGTGGGAGTGGCTGAACGAGCACGGGCGCTGGCGGCCCTACTCGGCTGCCGTCTGCCACCACATCGAGAACGTGCTGAAGGAGGACGCCCGTGGCAGCGTAGTGCTGGGCCAGGTCGACGTCCAGCTGGCGCCCTACGTCATCGACCTCCAGTCCATGCACCAGTTCCGGCAGGACACGGGTAAGGGGCTGGCGCTGAGCCGGGAACATCCATCCACCCATCCTTCCATCCATCCTTCCATCTGTCCACTCATCCATCCACCCATCCTTCCATCCACCCACCCCGGTGTGTATCTATTTATCTGCCTGTTGTCCCATTCATCTATCTGTCCAGCTGTCCATTCATCCATGCATCTATCTCGCTGCATATCTGTTTTTCTGTCATTCCATCCATCCTTCCATCCCTCCCTCCCTCCCAGTGTATCTCTACTTACTTGTCTGTCACTTCATCCCTGTATCCATCCATCTGCCCGTCCATCTGTCCCTCCATCCCATTGTACACACCTGCTTCTTCTGTCCATCTGTCCCTCACGTTCCTTCTCTCCTACCCTCGCCCTGCTGAGATCTGCTCCCCCTGTGGACCCTGCGAGGGTCCTCCTGGCCTTTCCTGTCCCCCTCCCCACTTTCCTTCTCCACCGTGGACCCCTGTCCCAGAGGGACATGTCCCAAAGTCCCTCCATCCCCTCTCACCCCCCATAGGGTGCTGTGGTGGGTGGTGTGTCCCACCGGCCACCCGTCTGTCCCACAAAGCTGCTCCGTCCAGGGTCCCCAAGGAACTGGGGGAGGCCCCAGTTTGGGCACTGGGAGCTGTGGTGGGCACTGGGCTGGTCGAAGCCATGCAGCTGTGGTGGTCGGTGCCTGCGTGCTGATGGCACCGTGCTGCAGCACGCATCCAGGCCACGTGTCCTCGGGGGAAATCAAAGCTGGTCCCGTGCCAGCACCAAGCCCAGACCCCATTAAATCTGTCCCCGTTGCAGTGTGACCCATTAAACGGGCACGTGCCGGCTGTGCCACGGGGGACTTTGGTTCGGGTGCTTTCCTGGCCATCCCTGCATCTCTGCCTGTCGGGAAACATGGGGGTACCAAGGGCAGGGTCCAGCCCCAGGCCAGGCAGGGGACCTGCCATGCACCAGGTGACACTCCCAGCCCCCCCCAGACTTGCCTGGGGACACACAGGGACCACCCCAGAGCAGGACCCCCATGGCCGCCCCCCCCCCATACCGCCCCGATTCCACCCTTCCCGGTCACCAGCGATAGCGAATGACCCTGAGTGTGGATGTGGCTCCTGCGATGGGCTGGGGACTGACATGGGGACCAAGCCAGGGACCTGCCACCCTGCCTCTGCCATCAAGCCTGGCTCCGAATCGGTCTCCAGCCGGTCACGGGCTTGGCAGGGGGCAACTTGGCACCCGCAGCCCTGAGTCAGTGCGGCGGCCGTGACCGCCGGCACAACCCAGATCGTGCCGGCAGCTGCGCTGACTCAGGGCTGTGGGTGCCACTGGGACACCCTGGCTGTCCCCACGCCAGCTCCTGCCAGCTTTGGCCAGGACCCATCCTCGGCCAGCAGGCACCTGGTATCACATCCCCTGACCACAGTGCTGGGTGCTCCCGGGGAACACATGCCCACAGTGGGGCCACGGCTAGGTTTGGGGGTGACACGTCCGCCGGGAGCAAAATGGCTCCTCCTGGGATGTCCGTGGGTACCGCGGTCCCCGTGCCAGCAGGGCTTGGGGACAGGGATGCTGAGAAAGGGGCCTCGCCATCCCCAGGGATGTCATGGGAGGGGACGTGGCCATTGCTTTGGCTCCCTCCCGTAAGATCATCCTCGACATCGTCGTCTCCGTGTGCCCCATCCCTGTATCCACCTCCATCCATCATCTCTGCCCTCGGATGTGGCCTGGGGGCAGCCGGGTTTGGAGGCTGTCAGGTGTCTCTGGAGTCCCCTGGTGCTCCGGGACGCGAGGGTCCCCTGTGCTGAGGGTGCCCCCAGTGCCTGCCGTGGCATGGGGACAGAGGGAAGGTGGGCAGCAGGCTGGGGGTGAGGGGGGCTTGGCCTGCACCATGCCTGGGGAGGGAGAAACCCAAGCCAAAACGGTGATGGTGTGAAATGAGGTGACCCTGTTCCGAGCAGCAAGGATGGGCGTCCCCTCCCTGTGGCCCTGGGGACGCTGGCTCAGCCTGGTGGCTCCGGCACGGTTGGCAGATGGGACGGGGGCTGTGGGGCTGGGGGCAGCTGGTGGCCCTTGGGGACCCAGAGCTGCGTGTGCCCAGACGCACGGGCTGGGGTGTCCTCCCCTTGTCCTCTGCTCTGCAGCAGCGGGATGCGGCTGTGAGCGGGCAGCGGGACGTGGGATGCAGTTGCAAGGACCAGTGGGATGCGGGATGCAGATGCAAGGACCAGTGGGTGCGGGACGTGGATGTGAGCGGGGTGCGGGCATGAGTGGGCAGCAGGATGGGGGACATGGACGCATGGAGGCAGGCACGGATGTGAACACAAGCGGGATGCAGGGCGTGGATGTGAGCGGGATGTGGACGTGAGTGGGCAGTGGGATGTGGATGTGAGCCGTCAGTGGGATTCGGGATGGGGGCAGGAGCGGGCAGCAGGGACGAGCGGTTCTCCGCATGGTTGCCGGAGCAGGGTGAGCAGCCTCCATGCCTTCCTCCCGCCGGGCTGCCAGCAGAGCTGCCTCAGCACAAGCCGGCAGCTGGGGCCAGGCTCTGCTGCCTGATGCAGCCGATGATTAATGACGGTTATTAGTGTCGTTAATCGGGCTGGGCAAACGGTGCTGGTGAGGGGATAGAAAGGCACCGAGCCACGGGGGCACTGCCAGGGCCGCGGCTCAAGGAGGGGGCTGCGATGCATCCCCCCACCGTGGAGCTTCCGAGGCGGCTGTAGAATCCAACTCGGTCGCAAACAAGCAGCGAGGGGCCAGGATTTGGCCGTGCATGGGGGAAAACACCTCGCTCCCGTGACTGCCGGTGCTGGCCAGAGCTGCGGCAGCTGTCAGGAAACCCCGTCCTGACCGGGAAATGCTCCCCCCGCCCCGGGGATGGCAAGGAGACCCTGGCCAGGGAAAGCGGAGATGGGCTGGGACCAGAGGGATGGAAAAAGGCTCTGGGGGCTGAGCAGCATCGCCCTTCCCACGGTGGCCAGGGCCGTGATCCTGACCGCCGGCAGCCCGGCCGGCGGCCAAGCCAACACCGCTGCCACCGCTAATGGAGGGTTGTTGAGCCTCACGAGTCCCCGGGGAGGCGCAGCCCTGCAGACACACCGATCGATCCATCGCACGCCGCGGCTGCCGCTGCTCGGCAGAGGGGGAGGCGGGTGCTGCCTGTTGGGGTGCGGTGGCCATCACCCCTCCTGCACCCCAGGGTGCTTTGTTGAGGGCGAGAGTGGCTGCTTGCACCCCAAAGTGCCTCTGCGTCTCCGTGACCATGGGGTGCCGGGCTGGGACCCGGACGCACGCGCGTGCATGCAGGCACAGGTCCCTCTGCCAGCACCCTGGGGTGCTGGAGCCCTGCGGGTGCTCACCCCCACTGTCTCCCCAGGGACTATGCGCCCCGTACGGAGGAACTTCTACGACCCGTCCTCGGCCCCGGGGAAGGGCATCGTGTGGGAGTGGGAGAACGACAACAGCTCCTGGACACCCTACGACATGGACATCTGCATCACCATCCAGAACGCCTACGAGAAGCAGCACCCCTGGCTGGACCTCTCCTCCCTGGGCTTCTGCTACCTCATCTACTTCAGCAGCATGTCCCAAATGAACCGGCAAACCCAACGCAAGCGCCGGCTCCGGCGTCGCATGGACCTGGCGTATCCCCTCACCATGGGCTCTATCCCCAAGTCGCAGTCGTGGCCGGTGGGCGCCAGCACGGGGACACCCTGCTCCTGCCCACAGTGCCTGCTGGTCAACAGCACCCGCGCCGCCTCCAACGCCATCCTGGCTTCCCAACGCCGCAAGCTCTACCCGGGTGCCGTCCGCCAGAGCAGCACCTTTGCCGGGGCAGCTCTATGGCCGGCGGGGACGGGGACGGCGGCGGTAGCGGGTGGCACGGCCAAGGGCGAGGGGTTGCGGGTGCCCGGTGGGGCATTTGCCCCCAACCAGAACGTGCCCGGCGGGGTGCCGCTGCCCGGGCTCAACAACCTCAACCAGCCCGGCACGCAGCGGGCGGCCGGACTCGGTGCCCGTGCCACCGTCCCCCCGGGGTAAGCTGGCTGGGGGAGGGTGGCCTGGGGAAGGGGATGGTCACAGTGTCACCCAGGCTGTGGGGATGCCAGGCGAGGTGGGTGCCGGGATGGATGCACAGAGCCACGGGAAAAGGGAGATGGAGGTTCCTCATCCCCTTCTGTCACCTTCCAACAAGCAGCCCTGGCCTTTCTGGCACTGTGTCACCCCCAGCCCCCGGCACCCCAGCCTGGGGACGTGGTGGCAGGAGGGACAACCCCAGCAGCTGGCTCGTCCCAGATGTTCCCCTGGATCCCTGCCCCTGCAGAAGGGCTGCGGTGACTTGTGCAGCGTGCCGTGCCGTGTCATGCCATGCCGTGCCACGCTGTGTGCCATGCCGTGGCATGCTGTGCCATGCCAGCTGAAGGAGACAGAGTGCCTGATCACAGGGGGCTTGTGTCCCTGCTGGCCAGCACAGGGTCTATGACCCCGGCTTGTGACCCGATGCCACCAGGCAGATCCCTGGGAGGACACGGTCGTGGGGACCACAGCCCCGGTGTCCCACGCGTGATGGGAATAACTTGCCGAGGGGATGGGGGTGGTTGAGCAGACCCCCGGTGGGGTGTCCCAGTGGGTGTCCCTGTCCTGGCACCCAAGCCCCCACAGCTGTACCCCTTGGTGGGTCAGCCCAGCATCCCCTCGGGGCTCTCGGCACCGGGTTGTCATCAGGACAGGCAGGAGCGGCCATGGCCCCGAGCGTGACTTGACGAGCAGGCTGTGATGGCACGGCTGGCAGCCTGCCGGCGTGGGAAAGCCCCATTGCCGCTCACTCGGGTGGGAACTGGTCCGCATCCAGCCTCGGGGTATTTGGTCAGAGCCCCCCCAGAGCGGACTGAGTGCCCTGGGCTGCAGTGAGCCGTCCCGGGGGACAAGTGGACAGCCTGTCCCATTCCTCCCAGCTCCCTGCCATGGGAGCAGAATCCAGCCCCGGGTTGCGGGGCACGGGGGGGAGGCAGGTTCGCTGAACCCCCAGCAAGTCCCAGCACATTTCCTTCCCCTGCTGACGTGCTGCTTTCTCTTCCGCCTGCCGGGTGCTGGGCCAAGCAGTCCCTGTCCTCATCACTGTCCCAGTCCCCATACCGGCACACAGGCCCCATCCCAACGCATCCCCATGGACAGGTAGGAGGGGGGCCAGGAAGACCCCGGGGGGGAGGCTGGGCTGAGACCTCCGCCACTGCCCTGGCCACGGCATGAGTAAGGGCAGCTTTGGGAATGGGAGGGAAAACGCCCGCAGCCCCGGCTGGTGTGGGCTTGAGCGCTACCGAACTCATCACCATGATGGTTGTGTGCGTGGGGGGGCTTTTGGGATTGGCAGGGGATGACACTGCTGGTGGGGGCTGCTGTTTGGGCTGCTGAGCTGGGGCAGTGGGATGTGGATGTGAGCCGGCAGTGGGATTCGGGATGTGGGCAGGAGCAGGCAGCAGGGCGAGCAGTTCTCTGTGGGGTGCTGGAGTGGGGCGAGGGCAGGAGAGTGCTCGGGCACCGTGCAGGGCTGCTCTGCCGTGCTTCCTTGCTCATCCTCCATCCCACTGCGTGCCCTGTTCCATCCATCCACCCGTCCACCCACCTGCCCAGCCAGCCATCTGTCTGTCCATCCCTCTGTCCATCCCTCCCTCCATCCACCCTCACCCATGGGCACAGCCACATCCATACCTGCACACAGGATCCTGGCTCCCACCCAGATTTGCCTACACACGCATCTGCTCACACTCCCAGCTGCGCACCCACCCTTGCACGCACGGGTGCGCACCCAGCACCGTGCACACCTGGGTGCACACCCAGCCACGGGTGCACACATGGGTGCACACACACGCGCACAGGAGTTGCCATGGGTCAGCGGGGACGAGCAGGTGGGGAGGCACCGTGCCATCGCCCTGGGGGTCTTGGTGCTGACAGCCCTGGAGGGGTGAGGGTCCCCTTGGGGCATGGGAGTGATGGCCAGGGTGATGGGTGAGGTGCTGAAGTGCAGGGACGGTCCCCGTGGGGGATGCGGGACATGGGGCATCGCCATTGGGACATCCCGATGAAGCACCCTCCCTGGGTCAAGATGTCCCCAGCACCATTGGGTGGATGGAGACATGGCACTGGGTGACAGCCCCATGAGATGGGACAGCGACCACCAGGGCAGCAAGGGGACACCCTGCCCCGTGTCCTGTGGCGAGGACGCTGCCCTGAGGACATGCCATGTGCGGAAGGGACAGGGACAGCCCTACCAGCCTGGCTGAGCTCCTTCCCCTCCTGTCTCCACACAGGGTCCCAGCCCTCCCAGTCAAGAACCTGAATGGCACCGGCCCTGTCCATCCCGCCCTCGCAGGTAAGGGAGGTCCTGCCGCTGGCTGGGTGTCACTGCAGGGTGACATCGAGGGGCTGAGGGGCCGGGCACGGGGCTGGGACACAGCCAGGCAGTGGGAAGGATGGATGGATATTGGGTGGACAGATGGACAGCACCTTTCCCCTGATGCAGGGATGACGGGCATCCTCATGTGTGCTGCGGGGCTGCCCGTCTGCCTGACCCGTGCTCCCAAACCCATCCTGCACCCGCCGCCCGTCAGCAAGAGTGACATCAAACCCGTGCCTGGTGTCAACGGCATCTGCAGGAAAACCAAAAAGAAGCATCTCAAAAAGAGTAAGGAACCGCCAGCGTCCCTGTGTGCCCTCAGCCATGCCAACCCCTGCCAGAGGGGAAACTGAGGCACGGGTGCTGCTGCTGCCTGCAGGGGTGGGAGCCCCAAGGGGCTTGCCCAAGGGTTTTGGGGTGATGCCCACAGCTCCTCCATGCCGCATGCTGGCACCCTCTCCTCCTCGTGCTCTCCCCATCCTGGTGGCAGGGCGTTGGGGCCACTGTGGGCAGGCTCTGACGGCATCGCCCCCTCTGCCCGCGGCAGGCAAGACCCCCGAGGACGTGGTGCGCCGCTACATCCAGAAGGTGAAGAACCCCCCGGACGAGGTGAGTGGGCATCCCTGGGCACTGCAGCTCGGGCACGTGCTCACCCCGGGGCTGCTGGAAGTTCGCGGGTCTTGGGCATGGGGAGAGGTGTGGGCAGGGGACGGGCAGCCCCCCGTCCCGCCCAGCCGCTGATGCCCGGCAACCTGTGCCCGGCAGGATTGCACCATCTGCATGGAGCGGCTGGTCACCTCCTCTGGCTACGAAGGTGTCCTCAGCCACAGGGGCATCAAGCCGGAGCTGGTGGGCAAGCTGGGCAAGTGCGGGCACATGTACCACCTCCTCTGCCTCCTGGCCATGTACAACAATGGCAACAAGGTGAGCCGGGACCCCCCCCGGTGCGGGGGGACACCCTCCCCACGGTCACCCATCCCCACGGGTGGGTGCTGCAGGGTGGGTGCCGTCCCTGATGCTCACCCGGGTGCCCGCGCAGGACGGCAGCCTGCAGTGCCCCACCTGTAAGGCCATTTACGGGGAGAAGACGGGCACGCAGCCCCCCGGGAAGATGGAGTTCCACCTCATCCCCCACTCCCTCCCGGGTTACACCGACTCCAAAACCATCCGGATCGTCTACGACATCCCCACCGGCATCCAGGTGAGGAACCCACCTGAGGAACCCACCTGCCAGGCTGGGTGCCCCCACCCTGTGCCACCCACTCGTCCCATTGCCCTCCCACCCAGGGCCCAGAGCACCCCAATCCCGGCAAGAAGTTCACGGCACGCGGCTTCCCACGGCACTGCTACCTGCCCGACAACGAGAAGGGCAGGAAGGTGAGCGTCCCCGATGGCACCAGGGTGGGAAGGGAAGGGAAGGGAAGGGAATGGGATACGATGGGATGGGAATAGAAGGAATGGGATGGGATAGAATGGGAAGGACAGAGTGAGAAGAGACGGGATGGGATGGGAAGGGATAGGATAGAATGGGAAGGGATGGGATGGGGGGGGAAGAGAAGGGATGAGATGGGATAGAATGGGAAGGAATGGGATGGGATTAGAAGGGATGGGATGGTATAGAATGGGAAGGAATGGGATGGGATGGGAAGGGGAAGATGCAGCAGTGCCAGGGTAGGGCTGGGGTGTGCCACAGGGAAGGGTGGCACCATGCAGGCACCATGCCAAGGTTGAATCCTGCACCCTGGGGTGCTGGGGCCTGTGCTGTGCTGGGCAGGAGGAGGGCTGGGGGTGCCGGGTGGGCGAGCGATGGCCGTGCCCGCCCGCCGCAGGTGCTTAAGCTGTTGATTGTGGCCTGGGACCGGCGGCTCATCTTCACCATCGGCACCTCCAACACCACGGGGGAGTCGGACACGGTGGTGTGGAACGAGATCCACCACAAGACCGAGTTCGGCTCCAACCTGACGGGCCATGGCTACCCCGACCCCAACTACTTGGACAACGTCCTGGCTGAGCTGCTGGCCCAGGGCGTCTCTGAGGCCACCCTGAAGGACTGAGGCAAGGGTGAGGGGCTTCCCACCGCCCCCTTGCCCCCGCGTCCCTGCCCGTGCCGCCGCCGCCGCCCGCGCCGCTTCGCTGCCGCCGCCGCAGCCCTGCCGGGTGGGCTCGTCCCCCATCCTGGTCCACCTGGTGCCACCCGCCACGCATCCCAGTGTCGTCCCCCCCGGCCTCCCCATCCCGGTTTGCCCCGCTCCCGTGGCGATAGCATTGTGGGCTGGTGCTTTTCTTTTTCTATCCGTGGCCTCTTTGCGCGTCAGCCGCCGCGTGCCACCCACGCCACCTGCCGCCACCCCACGGAGCTGCGTACAGCCGGTGCCATGTGTACATCTCCGTGTTACAGAATACACCCCGCGCCGGGACAGTGTCCCCACCGTGTCCCCACTCGAGTCCCTGCACCTCCCGCTTTCCTGGGGTGCCGAGTGGCATCGCCGCAGGATCCGTCCCCCAGTGGGGTGCCGCTGAGGGTGGGTGTCACTTGCTCCCTTCGGGGATGCTGGGCTGGTGGTGGTGGGGGGGGGGTTGGGGCACCCCCGTGGACAGAGGAGAGCGTGTGGATGGGTGGGTGTGTTTGCACACGCTTGTGCTGGGGGGCCCCAGCCCCGCTGTCTGGACACGGGCCCCGGGT